GATCTCCCACAGGGAGCATCTGTGTAATTTTTTCTTTTTTTTTCTTTTTTCGTTACTTTCTTAATTTAAAAAAAAATTCCCAAGTCTTCATATTTTATACAATTTTTTTTTTTTTTTCATTCCAATTTTCTCGTTTTATTTTTTTTATTTACCAAGTTCCATCTTTTGAATCATTCCTTTTTATCATAGTTGTTATAATTTTTAAAACCGTACATTATATACTTTTTTTTTAGTCGTAAATAAAATATTACAAATAGAAAAAATTCGTTTCTTTTGTCAACATAATCTATCCCTTTTTTGAAAAGATTTATTTTTTTATATAAAAGTACTTTTTAAATAATTTAAACAAAAACCGTTTTTTTTTTCCTTTGTCGATATATTACTCATTTGATTTTTATTATTATTATTATGGCACAGTGAACTTTGAATTATTGAAATGGTTATTGTTTATATAGATACGATAGCAAATTGCACTATAAACCTATAAAAAATATATTTGAGAAAACAAATGATATCTATCTATCTATAACGTCCTTTAAACTTTTTTGTTTTTGTTTTGTTTTTTTTTGCGAGTTTCGAAGGTCTAAGTTAAAATTTTTGATTTTGATAACGAGAAATTTAGTTTTTTTTTATAAATAAATACGGGCATTACATTCATCTATTCTATATATGTGTATATATTCTTATGTTATCTATTGTAGACGTAAAAAAAAAAAACCGTTTCGTTTGCGGAAGTTGTTGTTGATGGTGCCATTAATTTGCCCAAAATTTTTAAATATTTTACTTTGATGACAGTTATCGATACAATGTCGCGATTATTTGCAATTGAATGAGTTTTTTTGTTGTTTCTTATCCTCTCAACAATGTTTATTGTTTGATTTATGACTAAAATGTTTCTTTTTTTGTCTTGTTTATTCATTTGAAATTTTTTTTTAAAAAAAAAGAAAACGTTCAATGGTTTTTTTTGTATTGCAAATTTAACAACTTTTAAATGGTAAAAAAAAAAACACAAAAAGAACATTTATTTTTATTCAAATTATTATTATTATTAACACTTTGACGATAGTTGTTATTTTTAAAATAAATTTTTTTTTTTTTGCTAAGATTTAAAAACTGATTCGAGTATTTAAGTAATATCATTAACCTTTTTGGTAAATCGAAATAACCTTTCCCTTTCTAGGAAAATAAAAAAAAAATTCCTTGTTTCACGCAACATTTTTTCAATCCTATGATTTTTTATTGATTGATTTTAATCGATAATAATAACACTCCGAAGAGTGAAAAACTTTTTAATTTCTATCCTAACAGGGGGAGGGGGAAGAGGAAACGTAACGGGGAAAACCAAAAAACGTGACCGCCAAAAAAAAAAAAAAAAAAAATTTAAATAACTAATTTATGCTTTGTTTAATTTTCCTTTTTTTTTTGAATTTTTATTATAAAAATGAATTTTTCCTCGAGTGCAATACACATATATTAGGTTTTATGCCCTTGGGCGTTGGCCCTCTACAAAAATCAATGATCAACGACAGAATTATAAAAAAAAAAAAAAAAAATCGCAATTTCTTAATGACCTTACATGACGTACGTACACATATTAAAACTCGGTTAAAAAAAAAAAATATTTTTAATTTTTTAAATTTGAATTAAAATTTTTTATTTTTTTAAACCAAATCAAAGAGATTTGTTAACTTTTAAATTTTTACATCTCTATACCTGTACCTATTATAAACTTCCGTCAATTAATTTTTTTTGATTGGGGGCAGTGAGGAAAAGGGAAAAACAATTTTTTACTTATTCTATTTGAAAGAAAGAAAATTCCATTTTTCCAAGCCGTAAAAACGTAAAAAACAAAGTAATCTAATGTGAAAAAATTAATTTTTATTTACAATTTTTAAAAAAACTTTACCACTCATTGTGTTGTTTTTAATTTTGAAAACACAAAAAAAAAAACAAAAACAAAAGGCAGTAATTCACTTTTAGTATGTGGACACCTTCTGTGAATGCGAACTCGTAAAAAAAAAAAAAAAAAAAAAAATTTTTTTTTTAAATTTTTTAAATTGTTTTCTGAGAAAACAAAATCAAAATAAATTTACCAAAGCTGAAACTTTATATTCACCCAAAACGACACATCACCCATTTATATTATCATTATTATTATTTTTCGCCACGTTAAAAAAAAAAAAAACTCGTAAATAACAAAATAAACCTTTTTTGTTTTCTGTTTTCTTCTTTTTTTTTTATATACAACAATTATATAGCAAATTTAATTTCGAAAACTTAAATTACAAAAAAAAAAAAATTGTAAATATAATAATTTTTTTTTTGTGAAAAAAACCGCCCCCTCCCTCCTCCCCTATCCCATTTCTCCCCCGTTAGAAATCCTCATATTTTTTCACCATTTAAATTATTATTTACTCTCTCATTCAAACCGATGACTTGTTGAGTAATCAATGTAAATAACTTTTCTTTCTTTCTTTCTTTCTTAACGTTTTTTTATTTTATCCACTCGGAAAATCAATATGCTACCATGCACTTATAAAAAAAGGAAAGAAAGAAAGGAAGGAATTTATATATACGGATCAAACTAGAAAAAAAGGGGGAAAAAGGGAAAAAGGAGGAAAAACTAATTGACGAATTTTGAATTTAAATTTTTATACGTAATTAAATGTGGAAAAAAAATTTTTTTTTTATTCTGTCGTTGTTGTTCACCGAATTAATTTTGTTTGTAAACAAATTGATATTAAATATTATTTATACATAATATAAAAAAAAAATATTTATATATATATATCGATTTCGAGTTGTAATTTTCCAATATCAAAGCTTTTAAAATTAATTAAATGAATCGTAATGTAAACGAAAAAACAGATTTTTCAACTCGAAAAAACTCACAATAAATCATAATAAATTT